TCAAACATTCAATAGCAAAGAATTACTTAAATATCTGTATAGAATTATTGCATTTTTTATTTTCATAAACCACAAAAAAGAACGAGATAAACATCAATGTAAACAATCTTAAGACTTTCTGTTCTTCTGATTATGTTGATGGAATCAGTGAAGCTGAAACAATATTATCTGCTGCTCGCATTTCTTTGAAAGTATCAACTAATTCTTGTGCAAACATTTCAGAAACCTGATGATAACGTCGTAAATGATGTTTTAATTTTTTAATTGGTAGTATACGCCGTGGACATGGTACATTGCTTACAAATTTGCGAGTATATTCTGGAAAATCAAGTCGTCCATTAATAAAAGGACATGGGATTTGATAAAAATGATCAATTACATCTTCACTTCCATCAAATAATTTTGTTGTCTTTGGATCTTTATCATCGGCAATAGCTTGTACCAAACGTTGAGCATAAACTTTTTTAAATTTATGTTTGTTGATGAAATGTTGATATAATTTGATTTGGCGATTGTTTCTATGCTTACAAAATTTAATAGAATGTTTTTCTTGAGTAAGACCATATGCTCCATCAAATTCTAATGGGCATTTGTCATAAATCGTTCTGGGTTTTTGTTCAAGTTTCTTTTGTTTTTCATTTCCATGTTGATCCTGAAAAAAAACATAATGAATGTTTAACATATCATTCAGGATTTATTTCATAAAAAATAAAACTAATTTATATGTATACAAAAGACAATGTAATCGAGTTTATAATAGGTACCTCATAATGTTGACTTGAATATAGAAAAAAATAATAATAATATCACAAAGGATGAACTATAATATTCATGAAAACTGAATTCATACAGTATTTAATTGAAAACGAGGTGTTTTTGTATTGAAAATAGGACTTTGTTACGAGACGAAAACATTTAATTTCAAAAGCTCTTCTCTAATTTATGTGTACAAAAATTAATCCCAATAGAAAATTCATATTCTATTTAATTGTTTAAACAAGCAAATTTATGAGATACGAATGTTTCACACATTCGAAAGAGGATGACTATACGAATCAAAAACTATTCTCTTAGAATTTCATCGATTTAAAAGTTTGCTTTTCTACATAAGTTGTGTTGATCGTATCGTTTTTACTTTATTTACTGGTAGTATTTTTCTAACTTAATCATTTCTTATTACTGGATTTAGAGCGAAATTTTGCCGAGAAACATCAATTTCATGATTCACAATTAAAGTGAACAGAAAAGTTTCGAATCCGGCCTCTTCAGATGATAACGAGCACAAAGTTGTCAGAAGAAACAAATGCAACTACCCCAATTTACAGAAAATCTCGTTTTTCTGTAGTAATATAGAAGAAAAACTCTTGAACAACGTCTGAATTTGCTTCGTCAACTGAAGTCTTTTTCGGGACTTGATTTCGTATTTATATAATGACACTATTTACAACATGTTTATTATTGTTTCTTTTAAACGACGTTCGATAACAACAAAAATGTGAATCTATTGACTTCACCTATTGAACAAATGAGAACGAGTGACGTGAATTTCTAAGTTATACATACTGCCATGCTTAATGAATAATTAGACACAGCATGGAACTATTTCATATATTTCAAGTTAAAAACTTTCTTTATCGACTCTTCTATGGTTATAATTATTTTTACCTTAGCAGATTTCGATGTTTTACTAAAAGATAAATATGCAATTGGTTTCGAATATTTTCTAATAAAAAAAAAAGAAACTTACTCAGATGAAATAGTATCCAAAGAATCATGAGTGATATACGTTGAATGTCTATAATTTTATTCAATCATGTTTGTTTTTCTTTTTAAAATTAAAAATATTTTAACATACTTTCTAAGATTTCAACTTCTTCTGCTACATCTAAACATACAAAAATAAAAACATATATTTTGAAAACTTTTTTTTATTCTACGAAGAAACTACATGAATTGATCTTCATCGTTTGAACTTATATTAGGTCAACAAGAAACATTCGATAAGAGTAGAAAAAGCTTGAAAATGATCGCGCTCATGAACCTAATTATGCGAATTTTAGTGAAGTTTCGAGCCATTGTTTAGTATTTACTCAAAAATATAATAAACAAATTTCGGTCTGAAATTTCGCTCATTGATCGATTTGATAACATTTCGAATAACCTGAAATTGGCAGCAAAAAAGGTCTTATTTAAAAATTATAAGAAAACTTCACTAATTTGTACTTCTTTTCTCTATTATTCGAATAGACATCGTTGCAATGTTTTGTACATAGATAGTTCTTTGTATGCTTCAAAAAATTGCAAAGAATGTTTGAGCAATGCCATTTAATAAATCGACAATGATATTTCTATATTCAATATATAGGATTTCAGAGGGTAGATCACTTCGAACTCTATTATCTAAAAAGACACCGACACTGTTCTCTTTGTGCATAGATAGCTTTTAGTATGACTTCAAAACCTGCAAAGACATTAAAAGTGGAATTACTTGAGTAACATCTTTCAAACGTCCGAGAGATCAAAGTAAATCATTCTCTGAATCCCGATATATTAGATATAGAAATACTATTGTGATTTGATTAAAAAGTATTGTCCAAGCGTTTCAAATTCCTGTATCTTTGAAGTTTTTTATTAAAATTTTCAAATAGGATCGATTTTGCTAGCATATCCATCCCCATCCTTTTCAATAAGTAAGCATTAGCCATAGAAATATGACCAGAATCAAATTTACTTGAAAGTGTAATTTCTCAATAAATGGACGCTTTCTTTCAGCATATTCTGAGTATCAGCAAACTTACGTCTATGGACACTTGCAGGTCGAAAAGTCGGTAAAACAGTCATAATTCGGCTCATTAGTTATAACTTTTTAAAAATTTTTCACTTTTACTAAGAAAATTTTTTCTAGTATCAATGCGTTCAAATGAAGATTAATAAGTTTGACTAGCTTCCTCGTTAGATATCGGTATCTATGATTGGATTGAAACAAACATGAAATAAAAGAAAAATATTTTGCTTATACAGCAGTATTCCTCAATGGTGATTGATCTATTATAATTTAATTTAAATTCACTAAGAGAAAAATTTTCAATTTACCATTTGAATTCATATTGTCCTTATTACATTTACAAACACAAGAACAATATTTCGTTTCTGATAATGAAGGTTCGACTTTCATCATGATTTCTTCCATAAAGAAAAAAATAAACAAAAACAAAATGATTATTTAATTAAGTTTTTACCTGAACGATTTAATGTTATTGCTTGATTTATTTGTTCGAAAATATTTTGTGTTTCATCAATTGAACTATTAGATACATCAAGAAATTTGTTTGCTTGTTCAATCAAATGAGTTAAACAAACAAGACGTAAACAACAATGACATTGATATAATTCTTTGATTTCATTATCACATGTTATATCAGTACATGAACCTATTTCGGGCATAGCTAAAAAAACAAAGAAATACGAATATTTATATATTCAGTTGTTCGTTAAGATAATGCAGTTATCATTATGGACGAAAAATGTTTGAAATAATTTACTGACTAACGAACACATAGATAGAATTATTTTATTGGTTCACATGAAAGAAAAAGGCCTCAACAACGCACTAAGCGAAATAAAACTAAATTAAGAAACATGATTGATATGAAATTTAAAACAGACTTTAAGTTATCTTTTCGAGATGACTTAATTGTTGATGCATCAATCAAATCGTAGTTCGATGGAATATATCGAAACAAAGTATAATGAATCTAGAGAAAAAAAGAATGAAAGTAATGTTGCTCGACAATTCGCTTTTCTCTACTATTTTCATACTATGATAGAGACTATGTTGAATTATGATTAGTGGAATAACTATTATAGTGTAAATAGGTGATGTTTTAAAGTGAAAATAAATCTGTTTTATTTCTGTAATGTGTTTGAGACTAAAGAGAGAAGAAAAAAAAAATTCCAGGACATAATGGCAATACCCTTTGTTTTATCGAATAAAACAGTTCGACTATGAGCAGGCCCCGCGCGAGGGACCCAAGATTGGGGGGGGTGTGACGAGATTTCAAGGCCGTCAAGACTGAGGGAAGCAAAATTTTTTTCGCATCAGATCTGATGTTAATCTTTTTTTGCGGACCTAAAATGTAATCATTTTTCGCGAAGCGACAACTTTTTGCATCCTCCTTAAAAAATTTGATTTTTTCTCGCAAATTTTCAAGAAGAGAACTCGAGTCCAATATGAGAAAATTTCTCGATACTGCCGTTATCGAAAGCGACCGCTTTGGTGCAAAGTGCTCTATATCAAGCTGTTTCAAAGGAAAAGTTTACTAAAGTATTATTCGATCCAAAATGAAAGGCTGGTTACCATTTCTCGCATAACTATTGATACGAACGAGATACAGAGCTGCGGTTTTGACCATTCGAAAGAGCGATGTCCGAGCCATTGATCGGTATAGAACTGATTAAGACGAAAGATTTTTTTTTTATGTGTACATTTGAATCAACACTTTTTCTTTGAGTATTTTGATCAATTTTTAGAATAATCTCAACTCAAATTATGTCAAAATGTACCTCAAATCATCCTCTTTTCGCTGTAAAATTAACATTTGTTTTTTTTAAACCCGCTTAGAATAAGTGATTGAGAGATAATAAAATATGTGATAATTTTATAGCGAAAAGAGGGTGACTAGAGCTACATTTTGACATAATTTCAGCTGAGATTATCGTGAAAATTGATGAAAATACTCAAAAGGAAAAATATTGATCCAAAGGTACCTATAAAAAAAGCATCTTCCGTCTTAATGAATTCTATACCGATCGATGGCCCAGACATCCCTCTTTCGAATTGTGAAAACCGCACCTCTCTATCTCGTTCCTATCAAAAGTTATTCGAAAAATCGTAACCTGCCTTTTATTTTGAATCGGACAATAGGAAGTTTGTCTAAGTTAACTGCGGTTACACAATTGTTATTTTTCGCAAAGCGAAAACATTTTTCAGACTCACGAAAAACTCTTTTTCCCTTATGTTGTTCGAAAGCAAAAAAGTGTTGCGATAACTCTTAGAGATTTCGCCGCCGAAGGCGGCCACGCTAGTGACGACTGTTGGAAAATAAAGCTCTTCAGGAAGAAGACAGAAGTAAAATTGCGTTAAAAACAGAAAAATCACAGATATTTCTAGGTCGAATACGCTCCCGTGGTCATGTTTTCGCGAAGCGAAAAATTTAAACATCCCTTCAGAAATTTCTAGCAAAAAATTTCAAAAAGATTTATGGATTTTGTTGGCTACGAATGAGTAATTATTAATTATTGGGGGGGTGCACACCCCCCCACTTTCGCGGGGCCTGACTATGAGCCAGTAGATATGGATGGTTCATTGATGAAAGAGCACGTTAAAAGGTGTGCAAATTCAGAATTTTCGCCTCCTATGAGTCAATTTTCAATAGATACAAAAGTAGCATTGAAAATAGACTCAGACAGTTTTCATACAAATATCATGCTATTTTTGTAGTTTTTTTTCTATTGGCAGCGTATGACTCTTTTCTTTAAAAAATTAAATTGCATGCAATTAAAAAATAGGTTAAAAGAAGAATCAAATTTCGCTCTACAACACTAAATATTGATAAGAGTTTTTTATGATTTATTCTTTCACATATTAATGGAGGAAACACAATACAAAGAGAAGAGGAATGAACGGATGAGCTAAGAATGACTGATGAGTAATATGTGAACAAAAGGGTTCAAATATGCACGCGAAAAAGAAAAATACAAAGAAGACAATAACGACAAAGAGAGAGAGTGTGTTCATAGCGATGAATGTATGATCTCATGAATCCACCACGATATTTAAGTATTTGTTGTGTTTTTGGATAATTTTTAATATACCTATGCAATATCAACATTTGAAAGAAGATCGGCAAAATATCGAAGAGAAAAAGTATCAAAGAGGTAAAATCTGGAAAATTAGAAAGAACGAGTGTACGAAATCTCAAAGTGCAAGAATGGTAAAATTCAAAGTATAGAGGGTATGAGTGTGGGTGTGTGTCAAGAGGATATCCACAACCATACCTACACCCACAGCGTCTAAGTGATGGTGGGGACAGTAACAGTGATCTAGAGGGTGCTTCGCCTGAGTGAGAGTGATGACGTTAAGACTTTCATGGCGCGTATCATCTTGATGTTCGGAGACAATAGTACAGTTCAGTATTTCATTTTGGTCCTAATGTGTTTCTTATGACCATTATACGGATCTTGCCACGTGCAAACCATCCATGGAAAAAGTTTAGGAAAAAATCAAATTAAAATCGATTTTTTAGTCTAAAATACCGATTTCTCTGATTTTTCGGATTTTTTTCAAATCGATTTTAATTGACTAGAAACTATTAATCAATTTTAACGGATTATTGACTTTGAACCAATCAAAATCGATTTGAACAAAATCAGAGAAATCCGTATTTTACGTAGACTGAAATAATCCATTTTAATCTGATTAAAAAATTTATCTTTGGCCTTTTGGACCGTACTAATAGGAAAGTCCTTATTCTACTTATAGTCACAATTAAGATAAAAATTTATCTTTGGTTTCGGCATTTTAAATGCCTAGGATTTTTTAATAATTTGAGTTATTTTCGAACTCAAATTAGACAGCTACTCGAGAAATACGAATAATTAACTTAATAAAATACTAACACCAAGCAAGGTAGAAAAACCTTTTATTCAGTGTGTCGTACTATAGAGCTGTTATGAAATATGCTGCTAGTTTGATTCATTGTGGTTATTTGTGTGTGATTCTCATCATAGATAAAATATATCATTATGTTTTATTATTGCTTAATGCGTATTCCTATTATAACTCGTAGTTGCTATCTTAGTTTATATGCGATTATCAGTGCCGTATTTCGTTGCAGCTTCATGCCTATAACTCTGAATAACAATGTTTTTTTCTTTTGCTGATTTAACGTATCAAATGTTATTTTATTGTTCTTTTCATACATCGTATAGTAAATCCAAAATAAAATTTCACACAATACATTCAGAACTATTTCACACAGTTACCAAAACAACTGGCAAGTCGGAAAAATATTGTAGTAGGTTGTAGGATTGAAGATTTTTGTCTTTTTTTCGATTGAGATCGATCGCTTCAAACAATGAATAAAGCCATACACGACTTTCAAAGAAAACGAAAATGACGACAAAAAATGCGAAAGACATTTGAAGAAAAGAAAGGACAAATTCAACTATAACAACATGAGAAAAAGAACAATATACATTCGTGTCTGTCCAGTGATAACTTTTGCTGATTAGATCTCATTAAAATTTCAGAATTCTACGGTCATCATCAAAACCATATAAGTATACACAACGAACATATGATAAGAAATTTAGGCACAGGGTACGATATTTCCCTGCTTCTCACTTCCTCTTCTCTAATAGATCTTGACAACTGGTATCAAAAATCATTACGTACGAATTCATTCTGAATATACTCAGTGTTACTTTACCTATTCTTCTTTTTTTTTCTTCAATGAAACATTCTATGTCTCCTTTGCTTTCCTATATTTCCTCTCGCACTAAATGTGCCATCTTATTTCTGTGATTAGAATCAAGGTAATTTTTCAAAAAACAGTTAATTTATCTACAGAGGGTGTGGGTGGTTATCTGTCAAAGTATAATCAGCACCGATAC